CAAGTTTAGCTGAGCCATTTATCCTCAGCATCTGCTAGTTCTGCACAAGTCTCTATAATTCTGAGGTACAAACATTGAAAAATTAATACTGAAGGTATTTTGATGACATTGTATTTTCTATGAAACAGGTGATAAAATATCCACATGTTGAGACTGAACCTGGGACAGCCTTTGAAGTGAGACAGACATCAGCCTTCAAAGGGCTGACATGCAGGAGAAATTCTTCAGCAACCTGAAAATCCATCACAAGCATGTACTGTTCTATGTGAACACCCAAAGGTGGCGCTTTTCTTACAGCTCTCGCAATCTCACCAGCCCAACCTGCAGAGTTTAAACTGACTCAAAACCTAGCCTTCTTTCACCTGGTATTAACACTTTGACCACAGCCATACTGTTCTAAAACTATCTTGTAGTAGAAGCCTTACTGGCTTTCTGTCATCTATTAGAATCTACCCTTATTGTTTCTACTTTGCTGTATTTACAAGTGTGGCATCATCCAGGCATGTGCTTTAGAGGGAAAAAAGAAAGAAGCAGAAAAAGAGAAAATTTTCATTAATTTCACATTCATGATCTATTCTTTTAGAGGGTCTTACAAGAAATTACAGAAGACTCTTTTTCTAAGTTATTTTGCATTTTCTGGTTAATGCCTTACAATCTTTATTGGTCTGCATTCTCTGCACTTCTGTCCCATGGAAAAAAAGCCCAGGAGTTGTTAGTGTCTAACTTGACACCAAAAGCAATCTTCTATCTGAGCTATAGATTTAACTGGCTATAAATAACCAGTGCAGGAAACCAGCACAAAACCATGTATCGCAGAAAAGTAGAATTACAGGCTGCAGAGTACAATTGACCAGAGTAAGGTTTGTTTAACTATTACCATGCTGTGAACTGACTTTCTTTTTTTCTGAAAGTGATTTGTTCTACTCAGAAACACTATGGGGAAAAAAAATCCTAGAGCTGTGTTCTCACCACCAAAACAAGTCACTTGCTGTCATTTCATTGGTTTTATCTTTTACTTTGAGAACAGCTAGTTCTCTAGGTACTTGCTGGGGGACTAAGATTAGATGGTCCACCAAGCACTGTGAAATTGTCTTATGGCAATCTCAGCTCTTTGGGAATACTAGCTCCTAGTGGCATCACAGGTGTGTCCAAATCTGGAACTACCCTGCCTCTTATGCTTGTCAAGAAAAAACATATGTACTTCTTGTAGTCTTAGCTTTCTCACAGTTAGTATGAAAACTGTATTTCTGTAACACAGACATGTCTGGATAATTATATGCAGAAGACACCTTTTCTTTTTTTTTAACTACATCCCCTTAGCCACTGGTCATGACAAGGTTTTGATAAATTCTTAAATTTTCTGCTCAAACCCATGCTTGGGATATCTGTCTGTCTTCTGTTGCCACACAAGTTGAAGTTGCTCAGTTTTTCCAGAACTGTAGTGGTTTCAGCCATGAGATCAGTGCTGAAATATGCAGGTTTACTTCAAGATCCATAGCTGTGACCAAGAATCAGGCTCTTTGAAGAGGAAATATATTGCTTTGTATTTTCCCTTGTGACTTTTAGACAAGAAAGGACACCACATATGTGCACATGCCACTGTGCCCCCTTAGTTCATTCAGACTGGGTCTGTGAATGACTCCCTATGTACAGGACCTCATTTTGCTCTTCTTGGTTAACTAATGGGCGTAATTCCAATGAAAATACATCCGTAGAACTAGAGTCAACTCATGGGAACCAATGCTAAAGTCTGCCTGAAATCTGATCCTATGCCAAAGAGCCTTGTGCCAAAGTCTTAAGCCACACAAGAAGTGGAGAAAAAAAGCATGGATGTGTAAATCTGCATAAGATTCCTGGAAAGGAATCAAAAACTCTTCTGAATTTTGAGGACTAAGTAGTTTCATAACTAATAAAAAAATTTTTGCTCATGTTATTACATTAGTACTAATGAAATTTCCTGTTCCAGGGCACAAGCTGAATAAAAGGACACAGAAAGGAATATTTCCTATTTATAATCCAAATTTGTGGACATGAATTTGGGGAAAGCTCCACATACCTTTGAAGCATCAGGTATTGACTGGAATGAGTGTGGAGTTGATGAAGTACAGACCACTTCTATTATGAGAAATCCTACGTTTCTATGTAAAAGCACAAAGCCCCAAGTAGTCACTTGTGTGGCTTGTACTTAAGGCTGGTCCTGCACATTAGGTTCTGAAAGAAACACATGATCAATTCTCCCTAAAATGCTGATATTAAAATAAGAATTTATTGGGAATTAGCTTCCTGGAATAATTATTGGGAACAAACTATTTAAACTGCCAGAATAAAATCTATTCCAACTGGAGAGGGTATGCAGGGTATGCAGAAAAACCAAATGGTTTGGGTTGGAATAGACCTTAGAGATATCTAGTTCAAACTCCCCTGCCATGGGCAGGGACATCTTCCACTAGACCAGGTTACTCATAGCCCCCTCCAACTTGCAGTGAACACCTCCAGGGGTGGGGGGTCCACAGCCTCTCTGGGCAACCTGTACCAGTGCCTCACTACCCTCAGAGTGAAGAATTTCTTCCTAGTATCTAATCTAACCTATCCTCCTTCAGTTTAAGGCCATTCCACCTTGTCCTGTCACTACATGCCCTTGTAACAAGACCCTCTCCAGCCTTCTTGTAGGTTGCCTTTAAGTACTTTCACCTTCTGCAACTTCGCCAGTGTGGCTGGAGCACTTGCTGGTGAAGACTGAGGTAAAAAAAGTCATTGAATAGCACTGTCTTCTCCATGTCCTGGATAACCAGATCTCCTGTATCCTTTCTGAGGGGACCCAAATTTTTCTCTAGTCTTTCTTTAATTGCTGATGTACCTAAAGAAGCCTTTTTCGTTACCCATCATGTCCTTGGCCAGATTACTTCTGCCAGTCCTTTAGCTTTCCTAACCAGATCCCTGGCTGGACAACTTCTCTGGATTCATCCCGGACTACCCTTCCCTGCTACCACCCTCTGTAAACTACCTGTTTGTGTTCAAGTTTGTCTAGGAGCTCCTTGGTCACTCATGCAAGTCTGCTGACATTCTTCCCTGATTTCTTCTTTGTAGGGATGCATTGCTCTTGAGACTGAAGGAGACAATCCTTGAACATCTTCCAGCTCTCTTGGACCCCTCTTCCCTCCAGGCTCTATCCCACAGCACTCTACCAAGCAGATCCCTGAAGAGACCAAAGTCTGCTCTCCCAAAGTCCAGGGTAGTGAGCTTGCTTCTCACCCTTCTTGTTGCCCTAAGGATCTTGAACTCCAGCACTTCATGGTCACTGCAGCCCAGGCTGTCCTTGAGCTTTGCATTCCCCACCAGCCACTCCTTCTTGGTAAGAATAGGGTCCAGCACAGCACCATTCCTTGTTGGCTCCTCTGTCACTTGGAGAAGGAAGTTGTCATCAGCGCATTCCAGAAACCTTCTGAATTGCCTGTGCCCTGCTGTGTTGTCCCTCCAACAGATATCAGGGTGGTTGAAGTTCCCCATGAGGCTTGTGAACATGAGGCTCTTCCTGTCTGTCTACAGAGGGCCTCATCCACTCAGTGTTCCTGTTCAGGCAGCCTATAGCAAACCCCCACTATAAGTGTGGTATATATATATAACCTGTCCCTGCCTTCCCTTTAATCCTTACACATAAGCTCTCACTTGGCTCCTCATCCATCCCCAGGCAGAGCTCCATGCACTCCAGCTGGTCATTGACAGAAAGGGCAACACTCCTTCCTCATCTCACCTGCCTGTCCTTCCTAAAGAGCCTGTATCCTTCCATTCCAACTCTCCAGTCCCAGGAGCCATCCCACCACTTCTCAGTGATGCCAATAAGGCTGTAACCCTGCAGACATGCACACATCTCTAGTTTCTCCTGTGTATCCCCATGCTGTATATGTTAGCATTGAGGCATTTAAGCTGGGTCTCCAGTGAAGTTGACTTACTGCCTGGAGCACATGGAATTCTTTGGTACTGTCCTTCAGGTGTTCTCCCACTGACCTGCATACCCTCTCCAGGCTTTGGGCATCACTTGCTGGCTCTGACATCTGACTGGTATGAGTGTGATGGCATGTCACCCCACACTTTGTCACTGTTAAATCTCTTCAGATTTCTCTAATTTTTACACTTACTGTAGACTTTTTTTAGACTTTAAGAGATAACTGGACAGGACTTTTTCACGTCGTTCACAACAACTAACCTATCAGTATGGTATGAAGCCCATTAAGTGTGACACTGAAGAGGCCTCAGATATTTCAAGCCTACAACTCCTCAGTGGCACAATTTCAAAATACTTCTAGTTCCAAATTACAAATTTTTATTAGATTCATTTCTAAGTAACAATGTATTTAACAAGGACTATTACTGCCTTGCTATAAAGCACACACCTGTACAGTCATACATAAATGTCAATAAAGTCCTGGGGATTGCTAGAGTATTGCTAGTTTATGACTCTTCTGTGCAACTTTTGCATTGCAGTTAGAAAACTGAGTTTACCACAGGGACATATTTAAAAGCCTGCTGTGCGAGACTGGCACATCCTAAGATTATTGCTGTCTTCTAAAACTGTAAATAAGCACCAATTAATTAAATCATTTTGAAGTAACAGCCAACCTCAACATTCTGCAACATTCACCATTTAGGCTAAATTAAACATCTCATAAACTGCATCATTTGGTATCTGTGTAAAACATCCTAGATGCAATAATTCTATCTCCACCTGCAGGATTACAGCATGGGTTCCTCAGTGCTTCGCAAATTTTGCCAAACAATTATGATCCTGCATTGCATGCACTCTTTTTTTTAAATCAGAAGGGTTGAATTAGTTTCTAAAATTATAAATAAGCCTTCTATAATTCTAAAAAACACACTGAACACAAACTCCATTTGGAGTGACAATTGCCATTCACATTGAGAGATTTGAGACGTTCCTGAAGAGAAAAGGCATCAGTGAAGGTGTTGAATCCAGATGTACTGAACCACAGGAACATGTTCCATTAACGCCCTGTGGAATAAAAAAGGTGCATTTCAGTATCATTATATTTTCCAAAACTCTAAATTGGCTTGGCTTCAAGACAGGCACCCATTCCTACTGTCCAAAACCCCTCACTTCACTGCCAACAGTTATTTCTCTCTTTGGATTTAAAAGTCATGGAGCCACC